GCCAGGATGCGGGCGCGCCGCCCCTAGGGTGAAGTCGGGCCCGTCCCTCTACAGGAGGAATATTCAGAAGTAGTCAAGACATAGTCTTGGGACTATGTTTTGTGTATGATATGGTCTATTTTGGATCATTTATTATGATGATTATTATTATTATTATCCCAGTGCGACCCTACCTAGGAGTTGGAACCCCCAGGAAAGCAGCATTAGTAGTAACGTAAACGCTAAGCTAAAGCTAAGCTGAAGCTAAGCTAAAGCTAAGCTAACGCTGAGCAACAGCTAAGCTAAAGCTAAGCTACAGCGAAGCTAAAGATAAGCTAAAGCTAAGCTAAAACTAAGCTAAAGCTAAGCTAAAGCTAAGCTAAAGCTAAGCTAAAGCTAAGCTAAAGCTAAGCTACAGCTAAGCTCAAGCTGAGCTAAAGCTCAGCCAAAGCTAAGCTAAACGCTACGCGAAAAGCTAAGCGAAACGTTAAGCTAAAGCTAAGCTAAAGCTAAGCTCAAGCTAAGCTAAAGCTAAGCTAAAGCTAAGCTAAACGCTAAGCGAAAAGCTAAGCGAAACGTTCAGCTAAAGCTAAGCTACAGCTAAGCTAAAGCTAATCTAAAGCTAAGCTAAAGCTAAAGCTAAAGCTAAAGCTAATGCTAAAGCTCCCAGGGGACTGGGGGAAACCGCGGGGCGGGGACCGGGGGAACCGCCCGGGGCGCTTTCCATTGCCCGGCCCCTTTAAGCTAAGAGAGTAAGAACCCTTCTAGGCAGAGCCTAGGTAGGGAATTCGTATATATGTATAAACAAATAAAAATAAAGATACGTAAAAACAAATCGCCCAAAATCCCCCCGTAGGGGGACAGGCCCGACCGAACCCCAGGGCGGGGGCGTGGCAGGGCCCGCCTGTGCGCTCTGGCCTGCTGGTGCCCGTTGCGGGGCAGGGCGCGCGGATGTGTAGCGGTGCCCCGGCCGCGCATGCCGCCGGGCCGGGCCGCCTCGCGCGCGCAGGGCGAGCGACGGGCACCTCGGAAAGCCGTGCGCCCGTCGCTTCCCAGTGTCAGGCAGTGGCGAAGCGTCCTGGCGGGTTCCCAGCTGGTTCCAGCAAGCCTTGGTACCCAGCAAGCCTTGGTATACCGGCGGGTTGCAGCAAGCCTTGGTACCCAGCTGGTACCAGCAGGACTTCCAGCCTTGCTGGCTGGGTACCAGCCAGGGTGCCAGCCTGGCGGGTACCAGCCGGTGTTGCCTGCCTGGCCGGTACGAGGAGCGATTGCATTCTGGCCGAGCCCGTGGCTCAAGCAGTGGCGAAGCGTCCGGGCTCGCCCATAGCCCTACCAGACCATGTTCTAAGAACCTTTTGTGGTTTCCACGGAATGTTCTTAGATCTTTTCTGGCGGAGTCTGTCTTGTTTTATCGCATCGGGTTTATGTTCTGAGAACATTGTGTTTGTTCCTAGAACACTTCTGGGTTCTAAGAACATGTAGTGGTAGGACTATAGGAATGCCAGGGCGGTCGATCCTGCTCCACAGTGCGGTGGGCTCGTGGCCTGCCGACGCGGCAGCGGCCCCGCCGCGGGCGTTCCAGGTTGGGCGCTGCCGGGCCAGCAATCGGCCAGCTGCAGGCACGACTCGGCGATCGAGAAGCCGCCGATCGTGCAGGGTTGCATCGGCGTCACCTCAGCGTGCGGATACTGTGTATGCGTAGCCCCTCCAGGGGCGACGCGCGCACCGAGAACTCCTGCAGTGTATGCGTGGTGGCTGGCGTTTTCTGGCAACACCGCCCGAGAAACGATATACTACAAGACTGGTATACTGCATGTTCCGGTCGGCCGCGCGCCTCCAAGGAGGACGTGCACAAGCCCCCTCCCTAACCCGACACCCGGCCGCTAACCTGACGCCGACGCCATCACCAACTGGCTAGGGTGCTGCCGCTCGAGCGCCAGCCACATCTCTGATTGGCTCTGCTGCTCGCGCCCGTGCGCTGGCCACATTTATGTGTGTAAGACCGGTGCCGTCGCTTGCGCGCTGGGCGCATCTTTCATTGGGAAAGGGACTCCCGCATCAGCGCCGGGCACCTCCTTGATCGGATATGGCTCTGCCGCTCGAGCGCCGGCCACAAGCTTGCCTGGGAGCGGTATGCTCGCCCGAACGGTGGGCGCGCGCTGGGAGAGTGTCAGCGGGGTGCCGTCAGGTGAATTACCTGGCGTCAGGTTACGTTCCACAGCGCTTGTTCCATGGCCGGCGGGGGCGGCGTCAGGTGCCCTGGCGTCAGAGTAGGGGGGGGGGCTTGTAGTACGAGGTTATGTCTTTGTGCCCCCACTGCAGCACCCACGCGGTGTCAGAAACCAGCTCCGAGGTTGCCACGGCACGAGCTTGCCGTGCGTGTTCACAGGTGCGGCCAGCTCCTGTTCACGGGTGCGGTGGTGCGTGCGGGCAGCCCGCGCCCCGAACAGCATGAAGCGGGTGTCCCGGCACTTGCTTCTCGGAGCTGTCTCGTGTTCTGGATCTGTCGCCAAGCGCGTTCCACTACTCGCAAGGTGCCTACTCGCGAGCGCTGAAAAAAAAACAGATGGTTGCTTCGAGGAGGTTTTTCGTAGATCCCCCGCGGTGGATCCAGATCGGTTGCGAGCAGTTACTTGGCGAATAGTGGAATACGCTCGTCTAACATAGGGCCATGCATCCACGACAGATGGAATGACTGCTCCAGCCGGCACATCCAGTAAGAACCTGACCTGCGACCGGGTACCCCAGCGACAGCCTCTCAGCACCGGATGGACCCCCGGAGCCCTGGGGCACCTTATACGAAGCTCAGAGTCAACGAGGGATGGGTCTCAGATCTCTCATGCAGTCGGCACTGATTGGTAGGTCGACCATGCCAAATCAAGGGTACCCTTAGGTACCCTTGTGTCCTGTGCCTCGCGACCCATGCCTCCTACATCCCCCATGGCAATGTGGCCCTCGGAAGGGTCCTGTGTCCTCTCGCGTGTCCTGTCCAAGCAAGGCCGACTGTAGCATGATGGTATCTCATCGCATGTGCCAACCGTAACTCCTCACAGTGCACGGTGCCATCCTTCATCGTTGGTCACGTACTCACACTGGATCGAAGCGCACCCTTCACTTCAGGATGCAGCTCCTGGGAGGTTTCACTCCGCATCGGCTCTGGCATGTCCGCGGTCGAAGAGTGACCCAGTCTGGCACAACCCCGTTCAGTTCTGCGCAATCAAAGTCAGTCAGACTTAATCCCTCGCTCTATCCGGCTTGATCTGGTGTAATGGCCCCCCAAACAGGCTCAATAGCCCTTACTCGGTCGTTGCGAAGACGTCCCTGGGGGGGTGCTTCCCAAATCACAGTGCAAGTGGCATTATTTTATTCTACCGAGCACGTTCCATTACTCGCGAAGTGCCTGCTTGCAAGCGTCCGAAAAACACATGTCTGCCTCGAAGTAATGCATCGTAGATCCCCCGCGGCGGATCCAGGCCATTTGCGAGCAGTTACTTTGCGAGGAGCGGAACGCGCACGCCTATTCTTAAGTCGGGCCTGTCCCTCTACAGGGGGAATATTCAAAAAAGGTCCAAAAATAGTCTGGGGACGATTTGTGGAGTATTTTTTGGCCATTTTGGTTTTTGTTGTGGGGCATTTTGAATTCTTCGTCCAAAACCCCCCTTTGGGGGACAGGCCCGACTTAAGCCTATTCATCGTGATGGGCGATGGGGGCATCCGAGGTCCCAAAACCGTGCGGTGACGGATCGTGCGGTGAGGCCTGGGGGGATTTCGAGGTCACTGCACGGTCCGTCACCGCACCGTTTCGGCACTCCAGATCTTCATCGCTGGTGATGGCTGCACGGGGGATGAGGTTCGGCGCGCACCCCCGGGGGTGGCGCTCGAGGGGTGGGGCCTTTGAAGGGGCCAGGGGGGGGCTCCCTGGAGGGCCGGGGCCCTGCCTGGGGCCATGTGGCCACTCTTGCAGCAGGGCCTCTTCGGAAGCCGGGAGGGCTTCTGAGAACCCCCCCCCCCGCCCTTTTGCCCCAGCAGAACCCAGAGCCCCTCGCGCTGCGAAACAAACGTTGCGACGGGAGGTTTTCCCTGTTTTTTTCTGCCTCCTGGGGCCCGTGCTGGACCCCGGGACCGTCAGAAAACGACCCGGGACGAAACACTGGTCCCATGGAATGGGTCGTTTTTTCTGGGCGTCGACGTTACAGTCGGGGCGCTGACTAAGGAACCCTATTCCTTGGGGAGGAGCTCGGTGTTCCTTGATTGTTTTACAGTCTGCCTTGGGTTTTCCTTAGGTTTTCCACGAGGAATCGGAGTCTAACTTGTGGACAAAAAGGGGCCTCCTTCCTTATTTAGGGTTCCTTAGGTCAACGCCCCGACTGTACTGGACCCCGGGACCGTCAGAAAACGACCCGGGTTGAAACATCTGTCCCAGGTAGAGAAAAGAGAACTATGCACATGCACCGATTCTGGCCAGACCCATCCTGAGCCCATGATCGATGCATACGCCCTCCTGCCTTGGCCAGGAAGGCATATGCACCGATCCTGGGTCAAGGATGGGCCTTGCCTGGATCAGTGCATGTGCATAGTTCTCTTCGCCCGACCAGGGCATGGGTCATGACTTCTGGGCGTCGACGTCACGAGAAAGTCAGGACGCCGGGGGTCTGGGAGGCTCCCCCGCGTTCTCAGGCGCCCGCCCCTCTCGGGCCCAGCCCGCCCGCGTGCGCCGTCGAGGAGGAGGAGGAGGAGGAGGAGGAGGAGGAGGAGGAGGAGGAGGAGGAGGAGGAGGAGGAGGAGGAGAAAAAGGCGGAGGTTAGGAGGAGGATGATGAGGAGGAGGAGGAGGCCTCACCAGATGGCCTGCGGCAGGCTGGCAGGAAAAGCAGCGGCCCGCAGGAGCACTGCGACACCGCGCGCCGCCCTCGAGCCCGCGCCAGACCGCGGAAGGCTGCCCGGGGTGCCGAATGCTCGGTCGCCGGTCTTCTCCGGCTCTGCCCATGTCCCCATGGAGCCCCTCGCGTGGTGACACGAGTC